GTCATCCACGAACCTGCTGAGGGTGCACTCCATCCCATCTTCCAGATCATTAATGAAGATATTGAACAAGACTGATCCCAGGATCAACCTCTCGAGCACTCCACTTGATACCAGCTGCCAACTAAACATCAAGCCATTGATCACTACCCACTGGACCCAGTGATCCAGCCAGGTTTCTATCCTGAAATCTTCTGTCTCCTAGACTGCAAGACTACCTCCATCTTTCCAAAAGTAACCTTGCACTACAGAATTTTCAAGGAAGTCCTGTACTTTGGGAAGATGAATGGGTCAGGAGTGAGAGAGGCAGCAGGGAGGAGAATCCATTTCCTCCTCTAAGGATCATTTATGTGTTTTACATTAAGCTAGTATCACATAACTTACAAAAAGTAGTCCTTGAGATATGAACTAGAATGCAGAACATTATTGTCCCATGTGTGCTTTAACAATCAGCTCATAGTGTCATGTTCCATCTTCCTCTGACTCGGTGAATCTTGAATTCTTTTCTAAAGAAGGGCATAGCTCCAACAAGAGTAGAGGGTGCCCCAGCCATGCTTGCAGATAGGATGGGAGTTAAAATACTTCGCTAAGAGATGGGAAATGAAAAAGCTGAATTTTAATCTTTTGTGTTCCGTGCAACTGCTCCAGTCCCTGGGATACTGTAACAAATGAGCAATGTGGCAGCAACATTGCCTGGTGCGAATCAAAAGAAAGCAGCAGGTATCACTGCACTTTGCGTGGAATCTAGTATAGGAGGTACATGGTCACAGGTGACTGGTAGAAGGGGCACGAGGCAGGGCATGTGCCCCCCTTGAGATTGGCCCACAACTCTGCACCACTCAGGGCAGGTTTTTTGCCATGTAGGCCAGCGGCAGTACTAAACCTCAGCATAGAAGTATAGGAGTAGATATGAGGCTTCTGGCCCACCCCCAGACCCACCCACAAGTTGTGGCCCCCCAGACTCAGAAGGCACCTATCACCCCTGTACATGGTAGATGTTTTCTGGTCATAAACTAAGGCATTTCTGATATGTAAAGAAGTAGAATTTTGGAACTGGGGAACAATAACATCAAGCTGACATCACTTCAGCACTTAGTTGCCACCACAGGTTGGCAGAGGCTGAACAGGCATTTTCAGAGTTGCAATTTTGGATTTAGGTCCCTAAATTCCACCTTAGTCTTTCATCAGTTGCTTACATCCTTTTAAGAATCAGCTCTAAATCTTCAATTTCTTATAAAAATAGCAAGGAGTCAATCTACATTCTGAAGGCTTATGGAGAAGAACTCCAATGGATGACTCCCATTTTTGTCAGTGAGAGTTGAGCTAAATTAGGTCCTGATCCTGAAAACAAAACATATGCATTATGTACCCATGGTAGTAGAGGATCACTAGAACATAATGAACCTAGAGTGAACACAGAATACATCTCACAACATCCAACTTAACTAAAAATCTACCTTTATGAACACATTAAATGTATTAATAGTTTCTACATAGAAGGAGAGAAAAAACACTTAGTTCAATGGTTCCACCCAATCCCAGATGTTATTCCACTTCATAGAAAAGGTGGCTAATCAGTTCCTGAAAGTAGAGGGTGGTCATCTGTGGGTAATGGCTGTTTTTCAGTCCAGATATTGTTGGAAGACTACACAAATACAACTTCCATGTTGCTGCTCTTTTATGCTTTTTCTTTAACTTTACTCCTCTGATTAGTCTTTTTTTTTTCTGGGTACTCTTGATTGGTTTCTCCATGATCACCACTCTGTTCATGTTTTTTTTCCTGTCAGCCTATTCCTTTATTCCAACAAACCCATTACATGCACACATCTTAATTTGGTCTTTACCAGTGTTTTAATATGGGCATGCCCCAGGCTCCCAATTTGGTCTGTCCATCAACTCCAGAAGTTCCAGGGCTCTGCAGTCAAGTACTGTCTAGTTGGTCCCCTCTTATCACCCTCCATTAGCATATCCAATTATGTCATCCCTCTCATTCAATCGGTTAGTCCCAAGTCCAGTTAATTTGAACTGGAAACAAGGCTCACACTATACACACACCTATGTTGATAATGTTAGAACACAAGCTGCCTGTAATAGTGAGCTGAAGGCTATTAGTTGATAGTGCAGATACAAAATGAAAGAGAAAAATTCAAATAATAATGAGGCTATACAAAAATGTGAGCAATGGTTAAATAAAGCTGAGTACAAAAGAAAAGTTCAAATAATACTATAATTCACCACTCAAGCAGGTGCAACTAAAGCTAAATGTAACAAGCTACCCCAACACAGAAGATTAAGTTTAAGTACTTAAATAATGACTTTCACTGGAAGTCACTGGGATAATTATTTTGCTTAAAGACACACACCTACCACCTATTTTGTAGGACTGGGACCATAATGGCTTTATGAATACATCCGTAAATTATATTTTGGAATATAGTTTCAAGCACCTCTCCTTGCTGTAAGGGAAGCCCTGCTCTCTCTTCCCATACACAAGCTAGAAATGGATTTTTAAGCACTCTGGAACAGTTTTGCAAGGGATTCCAAATTCAAGCCAGGGACTGATCTGATTTTCATGCTCTTGGGCCAGATTCTCAGGAACTGGTTTATATCAGCTGAAGATCTTTGCTGCTCTATGCTGGATCAGAACAAAAGCCAGGATCAACCAAGCTTCAACCTTTTGGGAGGATTCAAATTCTTATCTAGAATAAAACTGTAAGGCTGGGCCTCTCTCTAAAAAGCAAGGGAGAACAAGTTCATTTCTTTAAATTTGATACTATTTCTACATTGTTTCAATCTGCAGATTGATGCACATTAGGTCATTTCACTGATATTTATGAGAGACTTCCATAAGGTTTAGGAAACTGGGACAGTACATTTCCCTTCCCGAATCAGTTTCTGTTTATTAACAGAGACCAAAGAATTCATTGATTTCTGCTGGTAGAAAATATCACTTTCTTCAAAGACAACCCTGTCCTTTGGGAGCTAGAAGATTTCCCTAACAAAATTTTTTAAAATGAAAAATGCATGACTTTTATAGAAAACCTTGAAGTGAATCGCTGGATTTTGAGCTTTGAAATTCTTTGCAAATAGAAGCAAAGAAACCTGAAGGAGCAACTATTTAAATATTAACTATCAATATACTTTTCTACAACTATTTGCACACAGTCATTTCTGCTAATGTGTTTCATAAGAATTCTTTAAATAGGATTTTTGGCTGACATGATGCAATTTAGATCCAAGATACCCAAAGAAGCTTAGGAGTTAAAAAGCCATGCTGGTCATCAAGAGAAGCATTCTGCTGCTGGCTCTTTCACAGGCTTATTTTATGACCTTGGAAAGACACACAAGGTTTCTGTGCCCTATTTTTTGTATTTTAAATAGATACATAATATATTTAACAAGAAAGCTGATAGTATTAGTGTAGTAGAATTCTAATTACTTTTTTATTTTCTATAGCTAAAACATACAGAAGTTCTCAGTTTTGACTTATTTACATGTCGCAATAACAACTTTGTGTGGAAAACACTCCATGCAGAAAGCACTTAAGGTCCTGAACATTGTAAATATCAGAGTTTGTTCAAACGATTGGAATAAGCCACCTTAGGCTCAATCAGTTTATTAAAGAAAAATCAGCACAATACAGAAAATACTGTCACCATACTGTACCAACCTGGAAAATAGTCTCACAGCTATTACATCCTCTATCTGTTCCATATGGTGAGTTCGTATCTGCCTCTGTTTGTTTACAGCATATAGAACATCCCATTGCATTAAATGCAATTCAATCTATTTTTCTCTTTTCCTATCTTGAACAGACCTCAACAAGTCCAGTGCAGAAACCATGATAGCTTAGCTACTGGTAGATGTCCATAGTAGAACACAGCATGATTGCAAAGCATTCCAGAATATATGACATTAGCTAACAATGTAATCGAGAACCCGTTCCTAAAAATCCTTCATGTATATTTTCCCAGGGTCTCTCTGTTCCCACAAAAGCAAAGCCCATTTGTAATAGAACTGGTGCCCCAGAGGTGGACATCACGTCCCTAGTGGCAACTCAACTCCTCTAAGGTACCTTCCTTTTGGTCTCGCCTGCCACACCTTGATTTTATTAACAAAATTTAGAAAGGGAGGCTGCCCAACTGTCTTAGAGCATGTTGTAACTTGTCATCTTTACCCACAGATCCCCCTCAGACCCCACTGTTTCCAATCCCTCTTTCCCACTAGATGGGCCCTCTTGGCCCACATGCCCCAAGGCCACCCATTACCTTATAGGTAAATCACAGCCCCTGAACCTCCCCTATAGCCATGTTCATACCTTGCAGGCATTGCTGGTAATCACTTCAGTGGGCACCTTGCTTAATGCCACCAGGCCACATTTAGGCCTCTATTTCCTTTTTGGGGCCTCAGCCTTCCCAGCTTCCATCCCACTGCTCTGGTTGGTCCTTCTGATGTAGACCCACTATACTGGGTCTGGCTCCTTAGGCTCCAGCCCTCATCTCACCTCTTGGGCCTATATCTCTGCCCCCCTGGCCCCAACTTCTAACCTTCTCTGGGCTGTAGGCTCTCTAGTGCTATTTTTCCCCCCTCTTGGACTATGGGTTCCTGGCCCTGGTTCTTGCCTCTCTTGAGTTATGGGCTCCTGGCCCCAACTCTGCCCCTCTAGAGCCAAAGGCTCATTGGCCCTTTCTCTGCACTTCTGGGGCTATGGGCTGACTAGCTCTGTATAGTTTCGCTTCTCTCCCTTGCTACAATCAAGCCCCTGCCTCCTGGCAGGGCTCAAGATAGTCGCATGCCCCTTGGGCACCACTGAGACCTCCTCTCATCCCTTACCACTAGTTAAACTCAAACCACAAACATAAGTGCACTGGCTGTAACTTAGTTCTCTAAGCCTATTAAAACTCTAATACAATTATCACCCATACTGGTTCAAATCTTCTACCAGCCCCTAGCTCCCTACTTGCAGCTTAATAGTCATAGCAGGTTCTCACTCAGTCTCTCACCAGCAGGGCTCTTGCTACAGAGCTTTCCTCTTCAGCTTCCAGGGCCAGACTGTTTTTTCTGGCTCTGGCCTAGGCTTATATGCCCCAGAGCCCTGCCCCCTTCCAGTCATGTGACTCCCTGGGCAGTCTTCAGGTGCCCTCTAAAGTGCTTTGCTTACCAACCTTCAGGATGGTCTATAGCAGCAGAACTAGGCACTGCAGTAATTCCCTTACTGCTAACCCAGGTTACTCTCCTATTATATCATTGCTTCACTCTATCAATCTACTGTATACAAAAAAAAAAAAAGTCATGGACTAAATATAGACATTAGATTTATGATGCATTGGGACCTGCCTAACATCAACTCCCCAGCTAAACCCTCCCCCTTTTAACCAGCTAGTCTCATTCTCTTCTCCCTACCCCACCTTCCATCTCTCATCCTTTGACTACAGCTACATTCATTCCCCCCACCCATCCACACCCGTCTCTCATCTACTGACCACCTTAATTTACATTTTAACTGTCTGGCTTTCTTGCACACGTACTGGCCTCTTGGCTGCTTTACTACTCCATCCATGAAGAGCACAGACCATCTGTGCAGACGCTTCCTCAGCCTGACAAAGGGTGTTTGTGTCTAAAAGCTTGCTAATAATTTTTCCAACTATTTGAGTTGGTCTAATAAAAGATATCATATTTACCCAAAGAACTTTGTCTAGCACAGCAATAGGCACTTCTCATTAAAAGAGCTCTGGCTGCTTATCTCTTTATAGCTAGCCCTCCTCTTGACTGCCCAAGTGCAATTTACCTCTGTTTTTTCCTCTCTCAGTAGCAAGAGCTGTAGTTTCCCAAGTTGGGTCATTACAGAGGAACTTGTGAACAGCCTTCCCTTTCTGAACAGCCAAGCATAAGAAAACATACAAAAGTTTCAAGGTTATCTATTACCCCAGGTAAAGAGAGGTAGTTAGCCATGTTAAACTGTACTTAGGCACAGCACAGCAGCATCTTATAGACTTAGTCAGAGAGGCATGAGCTTTCATTATAGCCCATTTCAAAGGTTATGATGCATCTGACTCCAGAGCACCTGATGAAGTGGGCTGTAGCCTATAAAAGCCCATGCGTTTCATCACCATGGGTATACATACTTCTGTTACTTCAATATTGCTGAGCCATATTAGGGAGGATTTAAACATGTTAGCTTGGTACTGGAAGCAGTTCAGTCATGACAGCATGGTACTAAGTACTTCCACAAGTATAGCAGCTTCCACTGAGCTCCATACTGCCACAGCTAGACTGCTACCAGAACCCAAATTAGCTAGTTAAAGGCTAGCTTGAGTAGAACCATGCTATACAGCAATCACAATATGCTCCAATAAGAGGTGAGAATAAAAGGGGCCAGGACCAAGACCCCCACATCTAGGCCCTCACCTCAATTACTGTTGTAGTCCTTGTATCGCAAGAAAGGAAAGCAAGCCTACAGGGGGTCTGGCATCTCAGGGACAGGCCCTAACCTACTTTTTGGGGGAACTGCCAGCCCAATGAAGTGTGCTAGTGGGAAAGGCATCACAAAGGCCCTTGGCTATGTTACAGTTTTGTTAAATTGATTTTCCTCTGTCTATTTTGTGCATCACTGCTCATGGAGTTCCATGGAACAGACTCCTCCCTGCGATAGGCCCTATGGAGCAGTGCTGTACAGGCCTTGCTAAGCTTCCAAATGCAGAGTCCTGGATTCCAGACTCAGTCTGGGCAAGGGGAAGGACAAGCCAAGCAAACTATGGATTATTCCTGCCCTTTCCTCCCCCTGACTTTCCCCACCTCCCCAGGCTATAAAAGTACCACAAAGAGCCCACCCAGTAACTCAGGCTCTTGGGTGCAGGCCTACTAACAGCAGGCTCATGGCTCTTGTCCCCAACAGCTTCTTGCAGTTAGGTTCTGGCTTAGGGGTGTGGCTGGCCTGACCCCCTCCACACTCCAGGCAGAGCAATACCCAGCTCCTGAACCCACCCAACCAATATTGTAGGGTACAAGTAACAACTTGTGCATGGTCTGACCTAGCAGTTATGCCACCAGAGGGCCAGAGTCCAAAACAACTAGCTATGTAAAGACCAGGAGTCAGATATGAAGTCACCAGATCCAGGGGAAAAATCCAGAAGCCAGAGTTCAGGAACAGAGCAAGCAGGGTCAAGAAACCAGAAAGCACAGGAATAGAGAAGCTTGCCAGAATAATCCTGCAGAGGAGCTTATTAGCTAGCCTGCAGGCAGTTTACACAGATGGAAATAAATAGAGAGGGTACTCTCCCCGGCAGCCAATCAGGAGGCCCAAATCATAGCCAATTGAATCATTAGCTGGGGCAGTGCTGCCAGCCAGCCATAATCCTAGGCAGGTGTAGCCAACTAAGCAATTAGCCCAGAGCCTTGGAGTCCCTGACAGAGGGCCTGGCTCTCCTTAACCCAATCACTGAAGATCACAGCTTCAGAAGACTTCTGAAACTCAAGCCCTTGGCAGTAATTCCATGGGGTCTCCACAGCAGCAGACAGTGATATCATTTGATTATATCCAATTGTCAGCCAAGTGAGCACTATAATGCACTTGTACTTCTTTCTCTTTATACATTCTTTGAGGAAAATACTGAAGTTCCATCTTTAACATCCTGATATTCCATCATTCCTGGCAGATTTGTATAGATGTTTATGTTTATTACCTTAATGTAATATAGATGACTCTAATCTCCAGTTCTTGATTTAGATTCTGCCATGAATTCCCACATGCATGCTTAGCCAGGAGAGGACTTTCTCTCTGGATTGTGTCAAGCGGTTAAAGCTTGGCAGTGTGTTGGGTTGCTTTTTCAGTATTCCAATTATTCTTTCTATTTCATTTTCAAAGCTAATAAAAACAAAGGTCAGTGTAGCCTCATTCTTTGGCCATCCTTAGGCATAGGCCAAAGAATTAAAGAGCTCTGTATGTGTTTTAGCACCACTTTATTTTTTTCCTAGTGAGCTTCCATTTTCATGTGTGTCCAGTCAGTCTCAGTGGATCATTGTCTAACCTGGCTCACACAGCCTAATCACACCCTTCCTTGGGTCTTCAGCATTTTTTTGGTATGACCAAAATACATCCAATATTTCTGCACCATTCTTGATATCAGAGTTTGAAATTCATATCCTTTTCTTTGTCATCCAGGATTCACAAATATTTATGAAAAAAGTATACTGCAGCCTTTGCAATTCTTCCCTGGATGTTCCTCTTGTGTTTTAATTATAGAGAACTACCTTCTCCATTTATCTCAGAAAGAAAATACTACAACTTACCTGCTGTAAATCAGCAGAGCTCCCTTGAAGTTAATTGAGGCTTTAATCTTTCATTTCACATTTTAGTGCTTTTATGCCATTTCTCTGTATTGCTTCATCTGCACATACATGTACTCAGAACAGCTTTTTCTTGCAGTACCATAAATAGTATCATGTCAGAAAGAAACCATTCTGGATCATACCATGACTTTCAAATGGCAGCCTATATTGGTAGCAGAGGAAGGGTGGGGAAGATTTGGTACATTAGCAGCAGCTCCTGGATGCTGTTAGAAACAACAGTGAATTGTGTGTTACTCTTTTACCTGCATTTGTTTTTATATCCTGCCTTCTAGGAGGCTGCTTTATTTAATTTGGAGGGGAGGGGGGTTCTTCCTGTTTTTCCTATTTTTTATTTTGGTTTGAGTTAGGCTCATTACTCCTGGAGGGGAGGGAAAGGCAGCACTGGTCCCAGTTCAGCAAGTATCCATATTTGGCATTCCT